TGTGTGTGTGTGTGTTGTGTGTTGTGTGTGTGTAGTGTGTGTGTGTGTTTGTGTGTGTGTGTGTGTGTGTGTGTGTTGTGTGTGTTGTGGTGTGTGTGTTTGTGTGTGTGTGTGTGTGTGTGTGTGTGTGTGTGTGTGTGTATGTTTGTGTGTGTGTTTGTGGTGTGTGTGGTATGTGTGGTGTGTGTGTGTGTTGTGTTGTGTGTGTTGTGTGTGTGTGTGTGTGTGTGTGTTTTTTTTTTTTTTTTTTTTTTTTTTTTTTTTTTTTTTTTTTTTTTTTTTTTTTTTTTTTTTTTTTTTTTTTTTTTTTTTTTTTTTTTTTTTTTTTTTTTTTTTTTTTTTTTTTTTTTTTTTTTTTTTTTTTTTTTTTTTTTTTTTTTTTTTTTTTTTTTTTTTTTTTTTTTTTTTTTTTTTTTTTTTTTTTTTTTTTTTTTTTTTTTTTTTTTTTTTTTTTTTTTTTTTTTTTTTTTTTTTTTTTTTTTTTTTTTTTTTTTTTTTTTTTTTTTTTTTTTTTTTTTTTTTTTTTTTTTTTTTTTTTTTTTTTTTTTTTTTTTTTTTTTTTTTTTTTTTTTTTTTTTTTTTTTTTTTTTTTTTTTTTTTTTTTTTTTTTTTTTTTTTTTTTTTTTTTTTTTTTTTTTTTTTTTTTTGTTGTATAAAATGTTTGTTGATGTTGTTGCTGTTGTATGATGTATGTATGTATTTTGTATGTACGCATGTTTATTGTGTTTGCATGTATGTTGTATGCATGTATGTATGTATGTATGTGTGATGCATGTTTTATGTATGTATGTTGTATGTATGTATGTATGTATGTATGCATGTTGTTTTGATATTGTATGTAGCAGTATGTATGCATGTAGTATGTTTGTATGATGTATGTTGTATGTATTTTGTATGTTGTTGTTGTATGTTGCATTATGTTTTTGTATGTATGTATGTATGATGTATGTATGTAATTTTATGTATGTTGTTGCATGTATGTACGTTGATGTATGTATGTATGTATGTATGTATGTATGTATGTATGTATGTAGGTATGTATTTTTGTTGTTGTTTTTTGTATGTATGAGTATATATGTAGTATGTGGGCATGTATGTACGTAGTATGTATGTATGTATGATGTATGTATGTTGCATGTATGTATGCATGCATGCATGTTGTATTATGTATGTATATATGTTTATGTATGCCGTATGTTGGCCAGATTTTTTTATGTATGTTGTTTGTTGTTGCATGTAGATGCATGCATGATGTATGTATGTATTATGTATGTATGTATGTATGCATGTTGTATGATATGCTGTAGTATGTATGTATTTTGCATGTATGTTGTATGTAGTATGTATGTAGTATGTTGTATGTATGTATGCCTATGTTGCAGCATGAATGTTGTATGTATGTATTTTAGTATGATTTTTGGTTGGGTTGCTGCATGCTGCAGCATGTATGTATTTTGTATGTTTTATGTATGTTGTTGCTGTATGATGTATGTATGTATTTTTATGTATGTATGCTGATGTATGTATGTATGTATGTAGTATGTATGTATGTATGTATGCACGTATGTTGCATGATGATGTAGTATGTATGTTTTTATGATGTATGTATGTTGTTGTATTTTAATGCTGCTGCATGTATGTATGTTGTATGTATGTATGATGTATGCAGCTGCATGTATGTATGTAGATGTATGTATGTTGTTTGCATTTTATGCATGCATGCTGTATGTATGTATTTTTGTATGTTGATGTAGTATGATGTATGTATGTATTGTTTTTTTATGTATGTATGTATGATGAAATGTTATGTATGTATGTATGTAGTTTGTTGTATGTATGTATCAGTAGTATGTATGTATGTATGTTGTAGTATGCATGTTGTTGAATGTATGCGTATGTATGTTGTATTTTTTTGGTATGTATGATGTATTATGTATTATGTATGTATGTTGTATGGATAAAAAAATAAGTATAAATAAAAGGGGAAAAAATTTTAAAAATAAAAATACAAAGAAAGATATGAATAAGAAATAAAAAGATAAAAAAACTAATAAGTAAAGAAATAAGTCAAAAAAACCAGATCAAAAATAAACCAAAATTTAAAACAGTGTGGGATAAAACGTTTGGGAAAGACAGACAAACCAAAGATATTTTAGGTATTCAAAAGTTAGAAAATAATGTTGAAGTTAGGAGAGAAGAAATGATAAGAAAGAAAGTGGGAATTTGTCATTTTGAGGATTTTTGATTGAGAAAAGCCCCAAAATTAATGATAATGCGACTACTTTTCATATGCGAAATTGTGATGAATTTTAAAAATAGCTGAAACAAAAGTCTAGTGGGGTAAACGTAAAAACCCCAATAACGCCCCAAAAAAAAAAACTGCAAACGGGTTTAAAAAAAGTTCAACTCTGAAAAAAAGTCTTAATCTAAAAAAATTTTAGACACAGTAAAACGGTAAAAAAAAAAAGGCAAAAAATCTTTTTTTAGCATAAAAATTAAATTCACTGAGAGGAACTGCTCAGTATATGATTTTCTGGCAGTGAATTGAGGAATGGCACCAAAGTGTGTATGCAAGGTAACAATAATAATGAAGGGGGTAGAAGCAATACATATGCACCATAAACCTTGAGGAAGTGTAGCCAGAGAGAGCTGGTGGCCAGTAACAAATTAGGAACAGAATACAACAAATCTAGGTCGGGGGGGAGGGGGGGCTGATAGATGTAAGGAGGGAGAAGGGTGGAGGAACATCAGGGCTTGTTGGGGGAGGGGAGGGAACTGATATTCCTTAGTTTGGTTTTGATGGAGGGTGGAGAAACTTGTTGGGGAGGGGGTGGGTGAGGGGCAGGTGTTGCGGGCGGGCGGGCGGGCGGGCTTGCGGGCTGCGGGTGCATCAGCAACACAAAAACCAAACTGAACCACAACGGAAGAGAAGCCAACAATTAAGATACGGATAACATGTCATAGATGATAGACGTAAGACAGCACTAAGGTCTAGCTAAGACTGGCTACTTACTCGGTATGCCTGATACTAGTTTTAAAGGCCTTAGAACCCGGATAGCTCTCAGTGTTCTTAAGTCTACTTCTATGTCCTCCTGCGCAAATAACGTGATGAATCTGAAAAGCAAGGATAAAACCGTAGCTACCAACTAATGAACACGAGGCTCTCACACTACTCACTAATCATAGTCACTAATGTTTGAAACAACAACACTCACTCTAGATCTAAGAAAAATCTTTAAATGTTAATTAAAATCAGAGAGGAGAGTTTGGGAGCTGGGAAAAAACTATGGCCTAGGGGGAGGGAGAGGAAGGTAGCCGAGAAGAGCGGCCATGAAGATAATACTAGGAATACTAGGTCCCTATGACGAGTGGGGCGGGGGGGGGGGGTAAAGACAGAAAGAAAGAGGGGGCAAAGACACACCCAGGGGGAGGGGCAGGCGGCAGAAGCCCGGGGGCATCACACAACCCGGGCACATCAAGGACCATAAGAACACGCTGCTGGTACTGGCTGCTCGACTAGACAGTCTACCTTTTTAAAATAAGCGAGGCTGCTTTAGCGGGTATATAGTAAAGAAAATGTTAGGTAAAAATTCAGTTTCTAGTTGGTCGGCCAACTACTAAAGTGGTCTATATACCTATAGTTCTCATTATCAGTCTACTACAGGTTAATGCCGCATTCATGGTGCCCAGCTCTAGGTCATTCAGACACACAATAGAATCTATGTCTGTATACAGGAACCCAAATCTAGTTATTACTAACCAGTACTAATGTTCCGATCAGGGTCTATAGGTATATGATCCCATGCGTCCACTGTTCCTCCCTACAGAGGAAATAATACACTGACTCAAAACCAACAACAATAGTGAATAAATCTATTCCCCCATAGAGCATTAAAATTGATCTGCTCTACATCTACCATTCTATTTACCATGTCTAGAAGAATCATTCACCGCGGCCGTGAGCTACCCACTAGAACGAGGCCGCAGCAGCAGCAGCAGCAGCAGTAGCAGCAGCACCAGCAGAAGCAGTGACGGGGGCGACAGCAGGAGCTGCACAAGGCCATACTATAACCAGGGGCACAAGCCGGTCCACCAGGGCACCTTGTATACAGTGCTCACTCTCCATACCCACCTTAGACGAGTGCACACCCAAGAAGGGAAGGAGAAACAAAAGTGAAAAAGGGAGAGAACAGAAAAAAGTGAAAGAATAAGCAGACAAAAGGGATAGAATAGACAGTGGGAGAAGAGAGAAAAAAGAGGAGAGGAAAGAGATAGGAAAACTGAAGAATAAAATATTTCTGAGACCCTTGCCATTAGTGAAATTTATACTGTGAAAGAGATACAAACTCTTTCTAATGTTTTAAACATGAGATGCTACTCAAGAGGATCATAGTGATCTACTCAGCACTAAACTAAGAAGCGCAAGGCTCTCATACACCTCTGTACTAAAAACTTTTCAAGAACATTTAATATTTCATTCATATAATGTAAAAGTTTCTCTAGTACACTAAAATATATATATATATATATATATATATATATATATATATATATATATATATATATATATATATATATATATATATATATATATATATATATATATATGACAAACATTTAATAAAAGACTATATGGATGTTGCTGGTAGATTATGAAATATTATAGTAAATGACCATAAATGTTAAATTTAAATACAGGTTATTGGGCAAGAATCACAGTTGGCACAGTCTGGTCAATGTCTGGAGAAAAAGAGTTTTGAAGTGAGTGAGTAGAGTTAGGCTTTGTAGGTGAGAGTGAGAGTTGCCTGACAAGGGTCCCTGGTGGTGGTGGCTGGCCCGGATATGGCCCCGTGGATGCCACCTGGCAGCTCCACCACCACCACCGCCGCCGCCACCGTCGTCGCCGCCGCCACAGTGCCACAGCGTGAGGGAGCGAGACTACCTAGCGAGCAGAGGACCGGGAGGCTGCAGCAGAAGGCAGTGTTCCCCGGGCCACTTACTTGGCAGCCGTGAGACCAACTTCAGGGGCCTGAGGACGCGGAACGAGCGGAGCATCCTCAGATCCACAGTTTGGCCAAAACTGTCCGCTGCTATTATTGTCATACCGCTGTCGTAGGGAGATACAGCCAAATACCATCACAGGACCCAGCCAACGGCAGCTACTAGCGCACCACCCATGTACACATTCCCCACACTAGTCTAAGTGCTTTACTGGAAGCCAATTATCCCTGTTATACCACCCACTAATTATTTTATACACAAAGTTATTAGTGACAAATGAATAGCAACCCACCCATGTTCACTAGTTACTCACTGGTACACCCATGGTGCACTAGTGAGCAACTACACAGTAAATATTATCTATATACTTTGATCAATATTAAATAAATGACAAAGAGTGATGGAACCTGAATGTATTCTCTCCTATTCTAGCAATTTTGAAACATCCCATGCAAAGTATATTACATGACTTTACTGAATTAATCAATTGACTCTGAATGGGGATACGCAGAAATGGGGACAGTAGGCAGCCTGTGACTGATAGAACCTCGTTAAGGACATTACATATATGTATATAAATATATACACACACTATTATTGTTAATGAATCGAACAGACATGGGAAAAAATCTTAGCAGGATTGTTCTCAGGTATCGATGGACCAACGACGTGAGAGAACCAAAACAACTCCCACCTGTCACTTGGACCATCGACACGAAGGAACTAAACCTTGCTTACGTCTTATATATATATATATAATATATATATATATATTATATATATATATATTATATATATATATATATATATATATATATATAATGAATGCTATTTAACCACAATAAAAAGAATATTTTTTAGATTATTTATTAGGAAAACTGACCTGATGTGTCACTTGCTAATAAGAAAAAAAGTACAAGGGGACCTGTGAGGATTACAGGTTGTCCCACAGGTAAGACCTGGCACAGACAGGTGACAGGTCCAGAGTGACTTGTTCTGTCAATACTGGCCACAACCTTCACACATAATATTATGAATATAATACATATTAAATACATTTATGTGCAACACAAGTTTTTAACACAACTTGCAAATTATATTTCATTCAAATATCGATTTGCTTTAAAAATTCTCAAATTTTAAGATTAAATTAACAATAAATTTGAGAAAATGTCCATATAAATTACATTAGCGATTAGTACTAAATATAAATTATATATTGACAGTATTTATGGCTGACTTAAACTATAAATTTATTATTGGGTTTGATTCTTACTTAAACAAGTCAACAATACCATTAAAATATCCTACATAAATGAACAGATAATCATGAATCCTGAACACCTGTATAATTTTGTTGTTCTAATCTTAAATCACGACTCTTTTAGTCTGTCCATTATAAAATATATCAAATATATCACATTTTGTATGTCTCTGGCAAGACAGTGATGGTGTGAGTAATGGTGGAAGTGTTTCTTCATTTTCAGGTCCCTCTGTCTAGGTGGGAAATGACCGTCGTGTTAAAAAAATGGATGAGAGATTTTACAGGTAAATATAAACTTTCTCTTAATATTGATGACCCGAAATTTTGTTACATCTAAATGTGTAAATACAACAGTGAGGTTAATTTTTTTTTTTTGATGGCTAATTAAGTCTGTCAGTTACCAGCAGCAACAGCCTTGTTGACCAGACGGTCAACCAAGCCAGGTTGCAGTAGTAAGGAGAAATTTGAAAAACACTGATATCTTTATGGCGAAGTGGACAAGAATCCTTCCTCCGTAAGTTGTGTGTATCGTAAGTTATGTGTGTCGTAAGTTATGTGTGTCTAAGTTGTGTGTCGTAAGTTATGTGTCGTAAGTTATGTGTGTCGTAAGTTATGTATGTCTAAGTTGTGTCGTAAGTTATGTGTGTCGTAAGTTATGTGTTTCGTAAGTTATGTGTTTCGTAAGTTATGTGTGTCGTAAGTTATGTGTGTCGTAAGTTATGTGTTTCGTAAGTTATGTGTTTCGTAAGTTATGTGTGTCTAAGTTGTGTGTCGTAAGTTATGTGTCGTAAGTTATGTGTGTCGTAAGTTATGTGTGTCTAAGTTGTGTGTCGTAAGTTATGTGTGTCGTAAGTTATGTGTTTCGTAAGTTATGTGTTTCGTAAGTTATGTGTATCGTAAGTTATGTGTTTCGTAAGTTATGTGTTTCGTAAGTTATGTGTTTCGTAAGTTATGTGTGTCTAAGTTGTGTGTCGTAAGTTATGTGTCGTAAGTTATGTGTGTCGTAAGTTATGTGTGTCTAAGTTGTGTGTCGTAAGTTATGTGTATCGTAAGTTATGTGTTTCGTAAGTTATGTGTTTCGTAAGTTATGTGTATCGTAAGTTATGTGTTTCGTAAGTTATGTGTGTCGTAAGTTATGCATGTCGTAAGTTGTGTGTCGTAAGTTATGTGTATCGTAAGTTATGTGTATCGTAAGTTGTGTGTTTCGTAAGTTACGTGTGTCGTAAGTTACGCATGTCGTAAGTTATGTATGTCGTAAGTTACGCATGTCGTAAGTTATGCATGTCGTAAGTTATGCATGTCGTAAGTTATGCATGTCGTAAGTTATGCATGTCGTAAGTTATGCATGTCGTAAGTTATGCATGTCGTAAGTTATGCATGTCGTAAGTTATGCATGTCGTAAGTTATGCATGTCGTAAGTTATGCAGTTAAAATGCAGAAAGGAAGAAAAACTTCATAAAGTTTTCTTCTTTCTCGGATGACGTGAAGAAAGTTGTGTCCAAGCTGGCGACCCCTTCAGCAGGGGGCTCAGACCCCCCTCTCTCTTTATATAATACAAAGTAATACTGATTATCTTTCCGTATTTTGAATTAATATTCATGATTCTCTTTCAAAATCAAAACATCAACATGATGTAACAAGTTCAATTTCTAACCATTTTAACTGCTTGAAAATGACGATAAATTCCAATTAAAAATATAGTGAAATTCAGCCAGTGTTTGTTCCTGTTTACTGTAAACTAATATTCCTGAGGCTCTGAGGTAAACAATGTTCCTGTTTACTGTAAACTAATATTCCTGAGGCTCTGAGGTAAACAATGTTCCTGTTTACTGTAAACTAATATTCCTGAGGCTCTGAGGTAAACAATGTTCCTGTTTACTGTAAACTAATATTCCCGAGACTCTGAGGTAAACAATGTTCCTGTTTACTGTAAACTAATATTCCTGAGACTCTGAGGTAAACAATGTTCCTGTTTACTGTAAACTAATATTCCTGAGGCTCTGAGGTAAACAATGTTCCTGTTTACTGTAAACTAATATTCCCGAGACTCTGAGGTAAACAATGTTCCTGTTTATGTAAACTAATATTCCTGAGGCTCTGAGGTAAACAATGTTCCTGTTTACTGTAAACTAATATTCCTGAGGCTCTGAGGTAAACAATGTTCCTGTTTACTGTAAACTAATATTCCTGAGGCTCTGAGGTAAACAATGTTCCTGTTTACTGTAAACTAATATTCCTGAGGCTCTGAGGTAAACAATGTTCCTGTTTACTGTAAACTAATATTCCCGAGACTCTGACAGAGGCAAACAAGTATAACTTTTGGTGTTACAAAAGATCTTGCTCGGAATTTTAACCCGGAGGTTAGTACCCAGTTACCGTAGTCTAATTTCGAGATCGAGGACTGTTCCTGTCTTACTTATTCCTCTGGGAACCAATGTTCCTCTTTACTGTAACCTACACCGGGGTCGAGGTAACACCAGGTTCCTTTTATTTAAACTTATCTGAGATTGACGGGAAAACAAAATTTGGTGTACAAAACACTCGGCCCAGTAGGTTTGCACCCCGGGATAACCACGGAAGTCAGTGTGTCATGAGATGTTCAATTACTCTATCCATTAACTTGACAGAATGCAGCCACAGCCGCCTAGCCTAAAATTGCAGTGTGACGAAAAATTTAAGAAAACACGCAGAGTTTCGACCATTACCATGGACATACGTAAGTTGAAGTGTCACAGACGTACGAATCCAGAAATATAAAGGGAATCACCGAGGGTACAAACATAAATAAATTGAAAGTACCAGATAGGATACCAGAGAGAAGATAAGTGAAGGTAACAGAGGTACGACAGAAGATAAGTGAAGGTAACAGAGGTACGACAGAAGATAAGTGAAGGTAACAGAGGTACGACAGAAGATAAGTGAAGGTAACAGAGGTACGACAGAAGATAAGTGAAGGTAACAGAGGTACGACAGAAGATAAGTGAAGGTAACAGAGGTACGACAGAAGATAAGTGAAGGTAACAGAGGTACGACAGAAGATAAGTGAAGGTAACAGAGGTACGACAGAAGATAAGTGAAGGTAACAGAGGTACACAGAAGATAAGTGAAGGTAACAGAGGTACGACAGAAGATAAGTGAAGGTAACAGAGGTACGACAGAAGATAAGTGAAGGTAACAGAGTACGACAGAAGATAAGTGAAGGTAACAGAGGTACGACAGAAGATAAGTGAAGGTAACAGAGGTACGACAGAAGATAAGTGAAGGTAACAGAGGTACGACAGAAGATAAGTGAAGGTAACAGAGGTACGACAGAAGATAAGTGAAGGTAACAGAGGTACGACAGAAGATAAGTGAAGGTAACAGAGGTACGACAGAAGATAAGTGAAGGTAACAGAGGTACGACAGAAGATAAGTGAATAACAAACCCAAAGATATATAACATCTCCCCTGGTTGAAGGAACCACACAATAATCAAGGATAACATCTCACGTGGGAAGGACCTAAGTGGAATCACAACAGTAATAACATTCACCAGGTTGGAAGGAACCCACATATAGTGAATCAACCAGTATAACATCTCACCTGGTTGGAAGGAACCCACATATAGTGAATCAACCAGTATAACATCTCACCTGGTTGGAAGGAACCCACATATAGTGAATCAACCAGTATAACATCTCACCTGGTTGGAAGGAACCCACATATAGTGAATCAACCAGTGTAACATCTCAACTGGTTGGAAGGAACCCACATATAGTGAATCAACCAGTATAACATCTCACCTGGTTGGAAGGAACCCACATATAGTGAATCAACCAGTGTAACATTCCCGGGTTGGAAGG